ATTTCCATCATTTTGTAGTTTCTTGATATTATAACAACTGAGAGCGGTACCAATTAACGTATGATTATGCTAAAGAAGACGATACATTTAGCTACAATACAGGTTTGGCAATTGTATTTTTTCGATCATCCCTTCAATATTTTTACAAGCTAACTACATTAAACCACTGTTATTTTGTAATTGACCAAATCAAGGCTATCAAAATCCATGCGCAATCCATTACACGTACCCTAAAATAAATTAAACACTGAATTTTGCCATCTGATCTTCATTTTATCACTATATCAAAAAAGTGGGACCTCGTTTCGTGATAAACTGTTTTTATTTGCTTCGATAAACAGTGATGCACAACTGGAACGTATGTTTCTCATTCATATCAACGATAGTGCTTCATCAACATACCTGGAGTAGGACTAATAATTGAATGTTTAGGCACGATCTCAAGATTAGCCAAAACAATATTTCAAGAAATGAAAAAAATAGATTTGTCATGACTAATCTATCAATTTGGACAACTGTTGAAACAGCATTACAAAGGTTCAATACAGTCTTCCTTCGAGATACTGACAAATTCAATGAATTCGAGATAATTCTCAACAACAGGTCCCAAGCCTTACAACATCTACTGAAAGAAGAAACTACTATGGATGACAACTGGAAAGGTATCAAAGAAGCATTAACTTCAACGTGTCAAGAGGTTCTGACCCTCAAGAAGCACCACCATAAGGAATGGTTTCTATAGAAACACTGGACAGGATCAAAGAATGGAAGAACAAGAAGACAGCAATTAACAATAGCCGAACATGAGCAGAGAAAGTCCAAACACAAGCTGAGTACATAGAAGCAAACAAGCAAGTGAAGAAGAGTATTAGAGCCGACAAGCAGAAATACGTGGAAGAAATAGCAACGAAGGCGGAAAAAGCTACAAGAGAAGGAAATATGAAACAACTATGACACGACGAAGAAACTGGCAGGGAAATATGGTAAACCAGAGAGAACTTTCAAGGACAAGGGAGTAAGCAAGCCAATCACTGAGATCTACGAACAGATGAACCCATGGGTAGAACACTTTGACGAACTCTTGAATAGACCAGCTCCATTGAATCTATCGGATATCGAAGCAGCACCTATAGACCTTTTTACAGATGTAACTCCATCAACGATCAAAGAAATTAGCATGGCCATCAGACAAATCAAATGTGAGAAAGCAGCAGGTTCAGACAATATACCACCTGAAGCACTGAAGTCAGACACAGAAGTAACTGCGGACATGCTCCACGTTCTGTTCGGAAAGATATGAGGAGGGGAAGAACAAGTGCTACTGACAGACTGGAAAGAAGGATACCCCACCAAGATACCAAAAAAGGAGATCTGAGCAAATACGAGAACCACAGAGGCATCACACTGCTATCAGTACCAGGAAAGATTTTCAACCGATTGTTGATGAACCGGATGAAGGACTCAGTAGACACCCAACTTCGAGATCAACATGCTGGGTTCCGTGATGAAAGGTCGTGCACATATCAAATCGTGACACTACGGATCACCGTCGAACACTCAATTCAATGGAACTAGTCACTGTACATCAACTTCCCTGAATATGAGAAAGCGTTTGATATAGTGAATAGGGGAACTTTATTGGACCTTCCTCGACAATATGATGTACCTGAGAAGATCTTCAATATCATGGAATTCATACGACGGACTACACTGCAGAGTGGTGCATGGAGGACAGCTGACAGACGCTTTCCGAGTGAGGACCGGTGTCAGACAAGGCTGCTTACTCTCACCCCCCCTTTCCTCTGGTGATTGACTGAGTTATGAAGATCTCCATATATGACGGGAAGCACGTAATACAATGGATAGATTGGATGCAGCTAGACGATTTGGACTTCGCAGATGATCTGGCCCTTCTATCTCATACACGCAAACAAATGCACATGAAGACAACCAGTGGGCATCAACATACACAAAGGAAAAAGCAAGATCCTCGTACACAACACGGACAACAGCAGCCTAACCACGTTCATGGAAAAGTTCTGAAATAGGTGCAAACTTTCATATATATGAGCAGCATCGTCAATGAACAAGGAAGATCTGATGCAGACGTAAAGGCAAGGATTGGCAAAGCAGGGTCAGCATTCCTACGGTTGAAGGACATATGGAACTCAAAACAACTGTCAACCAATATCAAAGTCAGAATCTTCAATACGAACGTCAGGACGGTTTCACTGTATGCAGCTGAAACTTGGAGAACTACAACAATCATCATCAAAAAGGTACAAGTACCTTATACCTTTACGTTATAGTTTCATGATGTGACTATTAAAGTGGGAACGCAATGTGATGTAAACTATCACTAAATAATGTAGTAAAATTCGTAAACAACTAATTATAGACTTAATTCGTCATTCCACAAGAGCAAATGCAAACACATTTCATTATTAATACTCATGAAGCACCTATAAGCACTAAATATTTAAAGATACGTCCACAAACTTAAGATTTACTAACGAATATTTTGTATTTAGGGACCCAAACACTACATGTATTAAATTGACCTGAAGTTATTCAAACTAATAATAAAAAAGCTTGCTGAATATATGTCTGAAATAAATACTCTTAGTTAAAATACACTAAGATTTCCATAAATTAACGACAAACAATCGTAGTGGGCAACATAAAACCAGTCAGTAACAACGTAGGACTTCGTACGTACGTACATCAGTTCGAGTTGCCACACCACATTAGCACAAAGATGCAGTGGTCAATTCGAATCCCGTAGTGCTAGATGTAGTAAAATTATAAGTTGTAATCAGAAAACTTAGGGTTTGAAGATGTTATTCAAGGACTATAATCTAGTGAAATAAATTTCGAAAAAGAAAGGAACATGAAGAAGTCAGAAGATTAGAATTTGGGAGAACACAAAGAATGGATGCACCTGCTAACGATTTTGAGCCATGTCATTCAGGGTCTCTAACCATCGGTTGCTATCATCTCGCGGTCCCCAACCATGTAATCTACACCTATCAACATGACAGTCCACTTGTCAGTGACTTCATGGACTTGTGCCATGTTTTGGTCTAGCCTCCACTAGCTTTCTTCTAATCTACTCCTATACAACAAAACATCGCACATCGAGGCAGTCGGTCGTTGGGCATACGTAACACGTGTCCCAGCCATCTCAACTGATGAAGTTTCACTACGTCATCAATTGATTTGCCATCCTTACCTAGTACCCGTTTTCTAACAACTGCGTTACTTACTCGATGGTCCCAGGATATACGAGCAATATTTCGAAGACACCTATGATCGAATACTAGTAGCCTATGAATATCCTCTACTCTTACCGGCCATGTTTCACTGCCATAAAGTAGGACGGAACGAACTGCTGCGCAGTAAACACGTCCTTTGGTTGATAGACGGATATCTCGCCTACGCCATAAATGACGCAAGTTGGCAAAAGCTAGTCGAGCATTCTGTATCCATGATGTGATTTCGTCACACACCAGACCACAAAGGCTGATGAGACTTCCAAGATAAGTGAAGCGGTCGACACGCTCAACTACTTCACTCTCTATCATTAGTTCGGGTGTCGATGCAACCCAATCCTGAAGCAACATTTTACATTTCGAGGGGGAGAATCGCATCCCGAACATGTTTGCATTGTTGCTTAGAGTGGTCAGAAGACTCTGCATTTTGTCAGCGTCTTCACACAAAGCCAGGATCCATCAAAAGATGAAAATAACAGAATTATCGACATCCACCAGACGGAAGGACAATTGGTTTCGTATCTCATATAGTCTGGTTTCTCAAAGGTATATATATAATAGTTATATCAGAATAGCATGGATTCATTTTATTTCGTTTGGTTCTCGCCAACTACGTGCATCCTGCAATATTTAAAGGTTGCTATGATCAAAATCAATACAGTATAGCAATAATATGAAAAAAATTAAGAGACAAGGATATTGTAAATATATATCTTATATGAAAGAATATTTTACAAGATTGATAGTAACCTGAGATGAAAAGGCTAGAAACAAGTGGTTACGCAATAGACAGATGCTGATAATAAGGATAAAATCAACAAAGTTCTGCTTGGTAAAATAAGGCTAACAATGTAGAAGACATTCACAATACAGGCGTACTAATGCAACTAATTAAAAATGTTGGACAGCCTTTAATGACGTAACGGAAAACATGTTTGTCACCAGGGCAAAGAAAGATTAGAAACCATCTCTCTGACGTCTGATAAAAATAGTTTTAGTAAACTTCAAATGACTGGAGTTTGGTTGTTTATTAATATCCTTGAAGGATTTTAAGGTATTGACTTGATGTCCTGTGTCCAAAAGGTATTTACTGTTCGAGTTATTTAAAGTAGTACTTTCTCTTGTCCGAAGGGGTTTGGGAGCGTGTCTACACAATCTAAGATATGCTCTCCTTCTTGTACGGTTAATGTAGCTCGTTTGAAAGGTGCAAGTAAATTTATAGACACGGAGGCGAGCAAATGAACTTCGCTTAATTTATCCTTATTATCGGTGTTCGTTTGTTATGTAACTAACTGTTTCTAACCCTTTGATCTTGTATTACTAACAATGTTATAAAATATTCTTCCACATAAGATATACATTTATAATATTTTATTTAGTTTGTTAAGTTTATATACATCGTTGCTACATTATATGAATGTGTGATCACAGCAACTTCTAAATAAACACTTTTTATGTACATAATTTAACCCACTTTGTAATTTTTACTTTTAAACACTATAGGTTGAAGGCAACTAACGAGAACTGAACGAAATAAGATAAATTCGTGTTATCTTCTTTAAAATGTTTGTTCTTGCTCTTTCCAAAATGATAAAAAAACTATATGCATAGTTATTTCTACACACCACTGAATCTATTCGGTTACTTGTCATCTTACCCTATATCTTTGCATAGAGTTAATCGTACATAACGACAACTTTCATATTTTAAAGAAAGACAATATTAATATCAAGGCAGTAGAAAAGTAAAGTTTATTTTCAAGAACATCTGACAATGCCATGGAGGGAGGTAAACGTAAGACTTAAATAATCTGGCGACCCAAATAAAGTACTACTGTCAATTGAGACTTTGGTCTTCGAAAAGTTTTTGTGGGACTTCATCCTGAAAGAAAATCAAATTAGACTAATAGAAAAAACATACCTCTTGAATTATATCTTGTGCATCTATCACAGAAAGAATTTCTTTCGCCCCTGTCTCTTGTACTTCACCAGCTAGTAAATATTCATCCAAAACAAAGTAAGCTTTTTCAAAGTGGAAGATTATGTCCAATTCACAGACCTTAAAAATACAATTTTGTTAAATACGAATTACATTTCCAAAATATTTATCCAGAATCTCCACGTAACGATGAATAATCTCCAATGTAATCAATTCATTATCTGTCTGATCAATAGCGCACACAAAATAGAGACTAGCATATCTGTTAAAGAAAGTGTAGTTGCAATAAATTACAAACACACCTTCTGTACACAATCTTAAGGTCTTGCCATTCTAGAAACGAGCACATTTTTGGTTTCCTCGCAAAGACTAGAGAAATAATTTCGCGTAAATACTTTTTCTTTTCTTTCTCCGTATAAGAGCTATACCATTTTTGAAGTCGCACTTTACCTTGACGACTAAACAATAACATAAAATTTATCTACACAATTCGTAATGCAAAACCATGATGTACACTAACCATAGTGCGAATATACAGTGCAGGATTTAAGATGAAAATAATTCGGGAATAAATGCAGCATAAAATGCTTACAGTATCTGGAAAATAAATAGAAGCAAATAGTAATTTATTGTCCACATGACTGATGTTACTAAAGAAAAAATATTTCACTGTAGAAAGGTTGAAGTATACAACCAATCCATTTTAAGAAACAGGATATCACGGTAAAATTACCATTGGATGATCATAAAGGTAGAAAATTAGGTTTTTACACCTATGTATCTAAGATAGTACAATGCTAATCGTCTAAGATGCATTTATTAAAGTTAAAAACTACCCGAGAAATGAATAATAATAATAATAATAATAACTAAACTACCACTCATCAGGTTAAAGCCTTAAATTAACTAGTGAAACAGTAACTCACTAATCCTCACATATTACACAAAACATTATAACTGCTAGTATAGGAATGCCAACTGTGCATTATATTTTTAATAAAATCAGTAAGCAGGTACAAGAAAAGCGTTCTACTACGAGATTTCTGTACACCAAGTTCGTCTTACATGACTTTACCTAAATGTATTCATGGGAATACTGTAAGTTTTATTATTGATTATCCGTGAGTACAAACACTAACACTACAAAAAAGAAACGACTCTAATTTTACCAGACTTAAAGGCTAATTTCATTCCGGAATTGCAGCGCCTTACTTCAAATATCCAAACTTTCCCCCATTATAACACGTGATGAATACCAAATATCCCTATGGTAACAATACCCATATATAAAGGCTTGGTTTTCTATACTTTATTTTCTTTCAGATTACTACGAACCTGAGCGGAATAGAAGCACAGAAAGATAGAAATAAAAACAAACTAACTCAAATATTACCAAATAGGTACTTGTGAAATAGGACATGTGTTAAAAACTCAACATTAAACTACGATGCCTCCGACAAACCATTCTAATTACTTTACATTAGTTGAAGTTTTTCATATGACAGCTGTTTCAACTATATGTGCACTGCAAAAGTGACATTTATTTTCATGTCATTATTTAAACTATTTCTCATCTGGGTACCGAAACCTAAAGTAGCTTTAGCTGAACTTCATTCGTCAAAGTAAAGGATTTTTCATTGGCTGATTTTTTCCCGCACTTTACATGTGGTTACATTACATGGAGTAAGAGTAAGCAAATCCTGTTACTAAAACTCAGTGCACTGACTGACACATACAGACACAGCATTGTTGGTAAGGTTTTACAATTATTTATAGATTATATTGCAGAACTTTAAGGTTATGAAATATAAAGTCGCCAAATGACAGTGTAGAAATATCACTATTCTTATCATGAATAATGCTGAGACCTTAATAATCGTGACTTATGGCAAATATGTATGGTGTAACAACCTGTATCTTAGAATGCGAACAAAAAGTTCTATGATCCTTAATAGTAAAATGAGTGAAATTTTGTCCTAGAACATTTCAGATCAATATTTGCAGCAAACGTTTGGCTTTTCGAAACTTCAATGCACTGACTGAAAAGTTTTCCCCAGGAAATTAATGAGATTGTTTCTAAATTTACCCTCATACTGCAAGTAGGGAAATAAACTAAGCGTATACGCTTACATATATATATGTTGCCCATACTGTTACTCAACCGATACAAGAGGGAAAACTGGGAAAGTAATATATGCTTAAACTACAAAAGAATATAAATACTTAGGTTGAGTTGTTTCGCACTTAGCAAAAGTCGTTCAGAGAGAACTACAATCACGGAATATGATTGTTACCAAGTAAAGGACACGAATCTTATTGAAACATTGGGTGGTATATTTTTCAGCTTAATTAGGCTGATGGGCCTATTATCATTAAAATCCTGTAGTTCATGAACATCATTTTAGAAAGCTTTTAAGACAGTATTAAACCAGTAAATTAGATGACTTATACAAATTAATAACTAAAGGATAAACCCTGAACCAGGGTAACGTGTACAACACACCAGTTTTGTGTAAATAAATGTACTGTTTAACATGTCTCAAATAAATACAGAAACATTGAAGAATCGAAAGTTAAGTAGACAATTTTGCGTGCATTTAGGCTAAAAGTAGACAATTCAGCGACATTTAAAACACAGAGTGACATAAAGAAGAAAATCCGCATTATTTCCCCAGATATGCGAAAAGGCAGACATTTTATCGCGTTTCCCTATTATTTCTCATAAATTTCAAAACTCATTTTCTCCTTTATTTTCCCTCTGTTCGCATTTTCCCCTTTTATTGTTTGTTCGGGTTTCAGGATTTTTATGACACTATATCGAATAATACATTTTGCTTTGAAAAAACAAAGGAATTTAAGTGTTCCGGTTACAAATTCGTAAAGTATGTTAATAATACATATTTTCAGTAACAACTGGATGAACTAACCGGATTATGGCACTAAGATGTTCATTTTGACTACCGCGCCTAAGGTCGGATTTAGATACAGTACAAAATGCAGGTAGTTACGCCCTTGAAGGTCAAACAACGAGCGTGCTATGGGAGCGTAAGGTAAACGAATGAGTAACTTCAATCCTAAGTTGCAGAACGCAACCTAATTTATTTTGAACCATGCTCAAATTCTGAAAATTTCGAGAACCATTCAAATCAGTTGTTTAATTATTCCAATTACAGTAATAGCTGAACCGCAAATCACTTCGAACCCCACATCCGCCCAAGCAACAAATGAAGGGGAAATAAAGGCTAAAAAGGGGAAATGAGGGGGAAATGCGTTAAAAAATAAAGAGGAAAACGCTCCAAAATGTCACCTTTTTCGCCTATCCGGGGGGAATAATACGGATTTTCCCCTTTTTGTCGCTTTTTCACTGAATTGTCTGCTTTTTGCCTACGTAAACGCCTAACTGTCTTCTTTTCGCCTAAATGCACATCGACTCGCCTATTTTTTTATCCAAGTTTTAAAACCTAATTTGCATAACCCCAAAGGTCTCCTATGTTCGACTTTATTCCTACAACAAGCCACAAATCCGCGCACATACAATCAGGAAACAGATACGATACATTAATAACCTAATATTTAATACTTTTCCAAACTCATTTTTAAAATTTATTCTTGCTCGACGGCTGATATCGATTTACGGTAGAAACCATCACCATAATGAATCAATCTGTTAGTGTATTATTAAAAACAATCTACCATCACAAGTACCTTACAGAATATCAGGCATTCGGATTCCTGAAGTATTCCGAACAATTGTCAGTATTTACCAATTGTTCCGCCTAATGATACCTTACATAATTTATGCGTGAATAAATCCTTAAATTTTGTCATGTTATGACTCTACACATGCTGCGAATTAAACTATTTAATACTAGTTTCTTGCTTAATCCCCTAGCACATGTAATACTTTTTGAACAAACGCAGACACTTTGGGCCATCCCTGATGATAACCACTCGATTTTGCGTGCGCACGAGACCACATTTATGTGCGTCATACTGCACATCTCTTATAAAAAGCAGTCAACTGAAATCCCGTAAAATTTAATGCATCAACAATTGTTGAAATATAAATTCACGTTCCTTCATTTCTGACATTTGATTTAATTGCCCTTAAGATCTTCGTATAAAAAGTTTTGAAAAATGGTGTTGCTGGACAGGGTGCAACCGTATATTCTCTAATCACCTTGTCTTTTTTTGGGGATAGGCTATGCCACAGGTGTTCGGAGTTTGACAACGCTTTAACCAGTAACACATTCTACTATAAATCATACCCACCAAGTAAAATCAAACGATAGAAGCGGGGAGGTTAGAAGATACACTAAATAGGCCATCAGTATATCGAAGTTTGACTGATCTAGACTGGCTAGCGATTGCGGGGGATTTCGAGCAAAGCGTCCCCACTCGTGATCTGGAGCGTATCCACAGCCTAGTGCCTTTGGCTAGGTGAGTTTTTCGTGCCTTAAGGTAACCCTCGTGCTATTGATAGAAGAAACCAGAGAAGTAGTGAATAGGTCTTTATTTCGATCTTCGCGCGGTGACAGTGGAGCATGGGATTATCTGTTCAGACAAACAAAGGCTCTCAACAGTCAATATAAGATAATAGGGAATATAACGCTTATACAAAACAAGGAAGTGAATGAATACTTGAACAATACTGTTTTGGCATATGCTTGGTTGTTTGGGGTCATCTCTGAACCAACCAACCTTAGCTGTTACAAGTTCATTAAAACTAATATGGTCAGCATCCAATGTCGAAGACTTACAGAACTATTTATTTTGTGGATTTATTTAACGCTAAATTGCAATATGGGACGAGACGTTAGTATATAACTGTTTTCAACGTAAATGATAAACCATTATTGTGGATGGACCACGATAGAGCTTCCATAAACGTTACAATCAGTAATGACTGTTTGATCGCAAATGTCAATCATAAATCTTGAGAATGTTCAACTAAAATATAGATTATTGGTCACAGATCTAATCAAGGGTCCTGGTTTTCGTAAATCTGTATGTTACTAGTAATGTCGTGTTGCCGTAGTCTTTCCTTCGTCTGAAATTCCAGTTGAAATATAATCAGTGTATGTTTAAAAAGTCAGTACCATGAAATACATAACTGATGAGCACCTCCGAGGTTTACTGAAACTGTCAGTCTAAGTGGTATGCATCTAGATTTGGAAAGGTAAAGCGGAGTAAACAGCTGTTCTGAGAATATATTCTTCATACGCTGAGGTTGTTTAACCTGTTAAAAGACCGATATCAAAACGCGAATGCAAGTTTCACGGTATATACTGACAGATGGTATGCGTTGAGGAGACGCCGTACGGTTGATTAACATCAAATTATTCATCATTGCCTGCATTTTACGAATCACAATCCCTATAAAGACCGAATACAGTAGTAAAACTATTTGGATGATCGAGTGACAGTCTTTTCTTGAATCAAACACGTGACCACATCCGTTCTACTTAACTTCATCTTCAGGAACTAGGGAGCGGGCTTTTAACAAAAAAGACTATCTTATAGTTATGACGTGATGTGTAACAATGTTTCAGATATATGGTTATCATATCGTTCATTTTCTAAGTTCAAGACACATTTTGAAAAATGCGGTGGAGCATAACTTCGTTCATAGAGGATAAAATGTACATTTGAATAAAATCCCATCACAAATATGTTTCGTTTTTACAAAATGATGGACATTAACTCTCAGATGACTGTCAACGAAGTGAACCTTCGTCCTGACATCGGAGATTTGTAGCAGGCCCGTTTTTCACTAACTACAGTTGCTTACAACACGTGTCAGCTTCCCAAAATGGTCGACTAAAATTTCATCTAGTGAAATATCTGAACACATCTGAGGGGAGTCCATTGTGTTCTACCACGGGATGTTAATTAACTTTTTGAGGCAGCTACTTTCAAGTTTGAATGGATATAAGGAGCGCTGTCGATTCGAAGGGTGTTAATGTGAAACCTCACAATATATACGAAACAATATTCAACAAGTAAAGTTTATTCAGACACAGCATGGAGCCCCTCTGTGGCTTCAGCCAGTCGGAATCCCGAATAACTGAGCAGGGTTCAAGATAAAGTTAGCGACCCCATCTCGGAGAAAACTAACTCGTCAGAAAACGCTAACCAGAAAAAATTATTCAAACCACTCAAACTCTGCCCTAAGTGTCAGAAGGTCTTCATTTACAAGAGTTATGATACCTTATGATGAGAGCCGAGTTCCTTCGAAAGCCACGAGCCTGATGCCCTTCTAACAACCAGAACAACCATTTATTTAGGTACATGGAATGCTCGTACATCAAAAGAGCCTGGAAGAGTCTTTCAAATTGCTGCAGAAATGAGGAGATACAACCTGGAGTTGCTTGGGATCAGTAAAACACATTGGACTCAACTTGAACAACAACGAGTAGCTTCATGGAAGCTTCTGTCATACTCTGGTCATGAAAAAATGCCCCACATACACAATCAGTTGCATGATGCTGTCCAAACAAGCACAAAATGCACTTATAGGATGAGGATCTCATGGATCAACAAACCCTCCTTCAAAGAAAAGACAGAGTGCGTTTCAGTGAATGTCATCCAATGCCATGCGCCTACTAACGATTACAATGAAGACGCTAATGATAAATTCTACGATAGGCTGCAGTCAATAGTCGAGAAGTACCCAACAAAGGACATTAACATTCTGATGGGAGATTTCAATGCCAAGGTTGGAATGGACAACACTGAATATGAAGACATCATGGGACGACACGGACTGAGAGGAAGGAACAAGAGGGATTTGCAAACCTATGTGCCTTCAATAAACTGATCATTAGCGGCACTATATTCCCACATAAACGCATTCACATAGCCACATGGACTTCACCAGATCACACTACACAAAACCAAATCGACCATATCTACATCAATAAAATGCTCAGGAGCACGATGGAGGATGTGAGAACCAAGAGAGGAGCTGATATAGCATCAGATCAATACTCGCTAGTCGCCAAGATGAAATCGAAACTCATGAAGCACTGGACAACGTAGCGTACAACAACACAAAACTTTATTACGGCTTTTCTTCGGGATACTGAAAAACTCAACAAATTCAAGATAGGCCTCAGCAATAAGTTTCAGGCACCTCATGATCTACTCAGTGGAAAAAGAACTACATTACAGAGCAACTGGGAAGGGATAAAACAGGCAATATCTTCAACATGCCATGAGTTTCTGGGCCACAAGAATCACTATCAGAAGGAATGGATCACTGTTGATACACCGGATAAGATTCAAGAAAGAAAGAACAAGAAAGCAGCAATCAATACCAGTCGAACAAGAGCAGAAAAAGCCAAGGCACAAGCTGAATACACAGAAGTAAACGAGCAAATAAAGAGGAGCATCAGAACCGACAAACGTAAATATGTGGAAGATTTAGCAACGACGGCGGAAAAGGCTTCAAGAGAAGGAAACATGAGACAATTGTATGACACGACAAAGAAGCTCTCTGGAAATCGCCGCAAACCAGAACGACCAGTGAAAAGCAAGGAAGGCAAGGTAATCACCCACATTGAAGAGCAACAAAACAGGTGGATAGAACACTTCAAAGAACTCTTGAATCGACCAGCGCCACTGAACCCACCCAAAATCGTAACAGTACCCATGAAACTCACAATCAATGTTGGCCCATCAACAATTGAAGAAATCAGCAGGGCCATCAGACAAATCAAGAGTGGCGAAGCAGAAGGACCAGACAACATCCCAGCAGAGGCACTAAAAGCAGACGTAGCGGCAACTGCAAGCATACTCCACATTCTCTTCAATAAGATTTGGGATGAGGAACAAGTACCAACAGACTGGAAAGAAGGACTTCTGATCAAAATACCGAAGAAAGGCGATCTCAGCAAGTGTGATAACTACAGAGGCATCACTCTTCTCTCAATACCGGGAAAAGTCTTCAACAGGGTATTGTTAAACAGGATGAAGGACTGCGTAGACGCCCAACTTCGTGACCAACAGGCAGGATTCCGTAAGGATAGATCGTGTACAGACCAAATCGCAACTCTACGGATCATTGTGGAACAATCAATTGAATGGAATTCATCACTCTACATCAA